GGTGCAGAGAACTGATGGGGAATAAGACATTTTCTGAGGAAGCCATGTAAAGGGTACACCGTGTTTTGGCATGTTTAGTTTCTCTAACTATGATTACTTGTTATGCAAATATATATGTTGTCAGGCTGTAACATGTGGTCATATGATTTATAAATCTGGACTGGAAGGAAGGTCTGCTGAAATGAACATAAATATTATTATTATTATACAGGATTTACCGTATATAGCACCAGCAGTTTACACAGCACTGTACAACATAAGGGCAGACAGTACAATTTCAATACAATTCAATACAGTAGAAATCAGATGGCCCTGCTGGATAGAGATTGCTGTCTAAGAGGGAGGGTCAAGACATACAAAAGGTAATAACTGTGGGGGATGAGCGACTGCAGAAAATAAAATTACAGTTAGGTGGAGGCAGGATAGGCTTCTCTGAAGAGTCTGAAGAGGAGGGTTTTCAGGGTTTGTCTAAAAATGGACATAGTAGGAGATAGTTGAACAGAGTTCCAGACTATGGGAGAGGCGTAGGAGAAGTCATGGAGGTGAGCATGGGGGGAGGTGAGAAGGAAGCTAGAAAGCAGGAGGTCTTGGGAGGAACGAAGAGAACGATTAGGTTGGTATTTTGAGACTAGCTTAGTGATGTAGCTGTGGACTTAGTGTTGGATGGCTTTGTAAGTTGTTGTTAGTATTTTGAATTGTTGGTATTTTGAATGTAATTTGTTGGGTGAGCAGAAGCTAGTGAAGAGAGGGGTAGCAGACACTGAGAACTTGATAAGATGGATAAGTCTGGCAGTATAATTCATGATTGATGTGAGGGGGGATTACCTATGTAAATATAAGCCAGTGAGAAGGGAGTTGCAGTAGTCAAGGCAAGAGATGACCAGGGAGTGGACTAGGACATTTCTGGTGTCTTTAGTTAGGATGAGGCGTATTTTAGAGCTGGTTGAGGTCGAGATGCAGAGGTTGAGGTGATAGGCTTTGGACATTGATTGGATGTGGGGCAGAAAGGATAGTTCAGAGTCCAGAATTACACCTAGCACCTTGGCAAGCCGTTGACCCTGACAGAGAAGTCAAGGAAAGGGGCAAATGGGGGAGGAAATATTATGAGCTTGGTTTTGGGTAGACTGAGTTTAAGGAGTTTAAGGAAGTGGTGTGACAACCAGTATGATCTGTCTGTGTGTTAGTAATGCATGTGGAGACTAATGTGAGCTGAGGGGTAGAGAGATAGATTTGAGTGTCTTCAGCATAGAAATGGTATTGGAAGCCATGGGAAGCTATTAACTGACTCCGGGAGGAAGTGTAGGTCAAGAATAGGAGAGGTCCAAAAACAGAACCTTGGGGAACCCTGACAGGGGAAGGAAGAAGAGAAGAGGAAGTAGAGTTGTGTGTGACACTGAAGGTTCGGTGGGATAGGTAGGATGAGAACCAGCAAAGAGTACTGTCATGTTTTTGCACTTCTACCTCCCATCTTTTAATTCCTGTTATTGGTTGTGTCATGCCCTCCTCAGAGACCAGTAAAACTGCTGCAACATGCAGCTACGAGCTCTCAATTTTCCTTTGAAATGATGTATGTTGAGAATCATTCTGAGGGCCAATGACTCTGTGAGGATTGGATTTACGCTGCATTGAATTGGACCCTGCTGGAACCCAAAAACCATGCAAACCTTATTAAGTACTTTTGTGTTTTTAATCCAATTTATTTTGTTTTGCCATTGTCTATTTTTTGCTGTAAATATTTGTCTTGCACCTTTTTTTCTCATATTTTCTGTAAACAGTATTTAGAAACCGTTAAACTTAATCTCAGAATTTAAAGAATTCTTGCCTCTTGAAGAAAGCTACTATACACTGAACCTTGTTTCATCCTTGGCTGGTGTGTATCAGTGATGTGGCAAACATTTAATAGTCTGCTTGCTATAGCAGATACTGTGAGCCATACAAGCTTCCATTAAAATGTGTGGGGGTAGTTGTTGATTGTATATGTAAAGGGTTAACTGTTGAGTTAACTGACCCAGTGATGATCACTCTAAAGCTGCCCATACATGGATTGAAAATCTGTTTTGTTTTGTTTGCTCTGAAATACATTTTAGGTTTAGGTCTTAAAATAATACTAAACACATTTTTTTTAAGTTTCATCCAAGGAAGTCTAGACTTACATATTGTGAATAGTCTGTTTCCATGAAAATGTGTATTTTTTTTTTTTCCTGGGCAATCATGTTCTTTCTTGATCTTTCTATCCTTTCTTCTCGTAGCCTCATTCATCTCCACCACTACCCTTCCCCCCGTCTCTCAGTATTCTATGATTAAGTAAGATTGATGACTTTTACCTATTTATATTGTAGGCCATCCACCACTATACTCCTAAAAATTAGGAGAATTTACGGGAAGCCTACAAACTACCAAGTTTGGAACTATTTAGGTATTTATCTAACATTTTGTTGCCTTCACTTTCCAGACCCCAACTTCAAGAATAGCTTTCACATCCCTTGAACAGATGATCCTCATCCTCCAGGCTTGATCTCCTTGCTATACAGCCAACTACTCCACACATACTTACTGCCCAGTTAAAACTAAATGCAAAAATGGACAACTGAACTAAATACCACTAAAAAAGACCAAAACATGGTCCCAAATATGGAGCACTACCAAAATCTTTTCCCAAAATGCCCTGGGAATAAAAGGTCTGGGCAATGCTTCATAAGCTCCTGCAACTCACAGTTGTCTTGAATCCATATGAGGTACGCCTTAATTTGAAACCCACGGGCCTTACAAAACATCAATTTACTCTAGTTTTGATGGAAACTAACTAAGCCATAGCAAAGGCATGGCTTTCTAACACTCTTGCACTAGGTGAAGTCAAATCCCAAACTCACTGGATATTTTCCAATGAAAAACTAACAGCAAATCCTTTTGGACATTGTGCTCAAACGTATAGATATAATTGAGACCCATAGATAACCCACTTCTTGCCATGTGGCTTTGATTGTTGCTTAACTGACTTATGAACCCCATAAATGTTCTATGCCAAAGAGACCTAGGTCTCTCGCCACAATTCCAGGGTGCCCCCTACCCCTCCCTACCCCTACTCCAACCATATCAATTGGTTCCAGCTTCCCAAGGAAAACGTTTTTTCTCTGCTTTACTCCTATTACTCTTATTTTCCTCCTAACTTTGGAAGGGAGCTGTACAATACTGATTTGCCCCAATGTCTTTCACTATGCCATGTTAAAATATACTAGTAATGTACGGTTAACCAGTATACACTGTAATTTTCTCTTGTTTTTTCACTACCAGTTTTAAACTTTGGACTATTTTGTTAATAGAAATAGTAAAAAAGAAAAAAATATTCCTGAAGCATAACTACAAGGCACACAGCCTCAGTACCTGGAAAACACAGTGTAGCCTATATAACTCTATCCAGGTTCCAGGCCAAAACATAGGACTGGTAGCATAGGCTTAATTTCATATGGGGTAAGGGGTGTCTCAATCTCTCCTTATACAGACATTTTATGACTTCCTGTAGGAAATATAGCTCAGGTTATGTGCTAAACATTTCAAGTAGAATATCAGTGTTAAAGTGTTACAAAACCCACAACAGTAAAATCAGTCTGTATATGCAGTAAAGCATGCTTATTATACTCACTGTGGAACCTAAGGGGTTAATCCTCTGCATTGTGTAAAAATGCTGTTAAAGCCTGTCTTCTCTGATCCTCCCCTTCTTCTACTGTCCCCAATACATCTTCTGATAGTACAGAGCCCTAGGAATCACTCTGCACATGTTACGTTTAGTGTATATTCAGTTCAGTTCTTTTGGGAGGATGCACAGGGCAAATCAGCACTGTCCAGACATAGGGTCAGGGGTCATGCAGCCTCATGGGACAGTCAGAGCAGAATGAAAACTCCTCCTACAAGTTTTGACCAGTGCTCATCTGGGCACTGATAGAAGTCACAAGACTGCTGATGAGAAAAGGTATTTAGCAGTTTACATTTACTACAGTAATTGCATTTCCATGTTCTGTGTACTGTTGGAGACCAGATATAGTGATTGCAGGGCCATGGATTTAGTAACACTTTAAGGAAGTGTTTGAATACACATATAGAAAATGTCAGAAGGACATCAGCTGGCCATTCTGACATTGGAACTTACACCCATGCATAGGTAAAGTACCCACATCAGAAAAAAATAGTATCATACCAGTTTAAGCATCCAGTGAGATCTGTTCAGCAGAGGGAGGTTATCATTTCTCTGTGGTCAATGAGATCATCTAAAAAATGTACTGATATAATCAGGCAAAGGGATATATATTCCTTTCATACTCCTCAGGAGCATAATAGGAAATGGCCACAAACTGCTGGGAGATCTCAGGCTACCTGCTGGAGATGCTTGAGAGGAATTGTGCAACCTGGAAATGCTGCAGTAACTGTAGTACAGTATTAAGTATTTGATGTGCATTCTCCAATATTTTTTACAGTGGCCCTTTCAGTAGCTTTACAGTAGTAGTATCATTTTCTTTTAAGCTGTAGTTTTTAAAACATTAAAAAAACACTCTCTTGAGCTCCAGTAAAGTGACTATGGTGTCTGTTTATGAACCAGCAGTAAATGATCGCTGCTCAGTTCTCCGGAATTCTCGGAGAACACAGTTCTCCTGTGAATGCCGTTTATGAAGCAGTGTAGATCAGCTCTCCGAACGAAGGGGAGAGCGGTCTACAAACGCTGGAAAACGGCTGCTTTTACTATAATCTCGCGAGATTACAGTAAAAGATCAGTTTATTAAGCAGAGGTAAATTATCGCTGCGTAGTTTTTGGTTCCTCCGAGAATCTGGAGGGAGAACACAGATCTCCAGTGAAGGGTGAACATGTTCTCCGGTGATCTCTAGAGTGTCATAAACTGTGAATGACCAGAGAATAGCTGCGATCAGGGGCGGACTGACCATTTGCAAACTTGGGCACTGCCCGAGGGCCCGGGGGGTCAGTAGGGGGCCCCATGAGATGCCCCTGGTACCTTTTTTCATAGGCTTTTTTGAGTTTGGGCAAGGACACAGAGGCCAAATGATCCCCTATTGCCCGGGGGCCCCATGAGTTGTCAGTCCGCCCCTGGCTGCAATCCTCTGAATCACAGCTATTCTCTGTGTCATAAACGGACACCCAAGTCTAGGCTGAGATGCAAGTAGTAGTAAGCATTTCTTCACTTTCCTTACCCCCAGTGATCAGACTGCAACATTGTAACTTTATAGCAAGTCATAAGCCTCGTATACGCAGTAAGAATAACAGCCGAATGATCATCCATTTTTTTTGTATGCTAGTCTCGTAGCGAAAATGAAGAGGTTACTGAAGTTACGAAAATTTTCACACGACAGAATACAGGTTCGGAAGTAATGCAATATATTGTATTATATTGTATTGTAATGTGTTCTTTCGTTTCTAAGCATGCGTGGTCTTGGTCTGATGATTTTTTTCGGATGAATACTGTACTGATCAAACAAAAATAGGATGTTCTAGTATTGAACAAGCAAATTTTTCATATTTGTCCCTTTGAATAATTTTGCATCAGCTGTCATGATCAGCTCTCGAAAGCTGTGTATTAGTGATCAGATTATCGAACGATCACTTTAAAAGTGGTATTTTTGTCCAATTTTCTGATCACGTGTACTAGGCATTAGGCTGAAGCAGGGGTCAAAACATTTGTGTCTACAGCCAATAACTGCTCAGGCAGCAGTGTTTACACATAGTTATTAACACCAAGTATTAATATGCAGGTATGCAGTTTAATGGCCCCTTTAACACCTTTTAAATGTTGAGGTGATCTGTGGTGTGTTAAGCAAGCCAGAGATTATTTGATTTTCTTTCCTGAAACTTCAGGTTGCAGGAAAGAAAATCACTTTATTCACCCATCAACACAGTCAGTGTTGATGAGGGAATCCCTCCTGCACTGCTATTGTGTTCTGCCGGCAGGGAGCCTTCCCTGCCAGCAGAACACAACTATTACTGTTAGCGATAGTTATAAATACCAGCAGTAATCACATGCAAAAAATCCAACAGGCTGGTTGTACTGAAGTTGATCGATGGATCAACTTTAGTATCACCAGCCTGTCCATACATGGATCGCATCTCGGCCAGTCCTGCTGAACCAGCCGAAGTTCAATTCATCTATGGCCAGCTTTACTGCAAGCATGTTAACTTGCGCTGAATTAAGGGAGCCCATTCATTTTAAAAAGGCTGTCAGAACACCTTAAATGGGACCTGACCCTTGAAGGACAAACAGCACACCACAACGATTGGTAGCACATTGCCACATGTTGAAGAGAGCTGCAATAGTTGCCTGCACTGAATGAATGGCACCCCAACGCACTAATGTATGCATGTAGTAGCATGCTGTGGTAGTGTGCATTATAAGGCTGTGAAGTAATTCTTAATATAAATCTTCAAAATGTTACTCTACTTGTTTGACTTCATCAAATATGCACCTGTCTTGTTCTTCAGATGTTTGTTCTGTTCAAAAGCTATGGCACCTGGAAGAACCTTCACAACCAGCACTTCCAGCAGTATCAGACGCAAGCATCCCTAACTGTGCACTATCATTCTATCTGCTAGCCTCATTGTCATTTTATCCTGTAGTGATGTAAGGGCTGGTGGATGGAACCACAGCATGCAGTGGAATACCAAGCATTTTACCCAACACAAAGTATATTATATGTAAAGATTCTGCTGGAGGCCATAGCCAGGGACATAGTTAGTCCATCTGGCACCCAGGGTTGGTCATTTCTTTTTGCAACCCCCCCCCCCCCCAAAAAAAAAAAAAAATATGGCATGTTGTAATATATTGGTGCGCTTTGTGCTCTGTGCCAAAACTGTGGGTGTTGTCAGATCTATTTCCTGGTTCAAGGCCTCCATGCTTCCCCTCTTCTAGTCCAGGATCTCCAGACACCTGCTGTCCTAGGCCTCCAGACACCCCCTTTTCTAGTCTGGGACCTCCAGACACCCCTCACCTAGTTCAGAGTCTCCTTTGTCCCCCCCAATCCAAGGCCTTTGCCACACCAACCCACTTTTCCTAGTCCAAGGCCTCCTCACCCCCCCCCCCCCCCAAGTTTAGGGACTCCTCTGCACCCCCCCTTCAAGTTCAGGGCCTCCTCTGCACCCCCCTCCAAGTCCACAACTTTCTCTGCAGCCCCCCCAAGGTTCAGGGCCTCCTTTGCCTCCAAATCCAGGTTCTTTGCCATGTCAGTCACCCTTTTCAAGTCCAGGGCCTCCTCTGTACCCTTCGTCCAGGGCCTCATCTGCATTTCCCTCCTAGTCTATGGCCTCCTCTGCACTCCCCTCTCAGTCCAGGGCCTCCTCTGCACCCCAACTCCTAAGCCAGGGTCTTGGCCAAACCAACTATCCCCTTTTCTAGTCCAGGGCCTCCTCTGCACCACCCTTCCCCCACAGTCCAGGATCTCCTCTGCACCCCCTTCAGACCAGAACCTCCACTGCACTCCTCTCCCAGTCCAGGGCTTCCTCTGCACCTCAACTCCTAAGCCAGAGCATCCTCTGTACCCTCTCATCCAGTTCCTTCTTTGCTCCCCCCACCTTCCTAGTCCAGGGCCTTCTGTACACAAACCCCTTCTCCTAATAAAAACCTTCCAGTTTGAGGCAGGCTCACCCATGAAAATTTTTACTGCAGTCTACAGCTTGGCTGTCTCACTCAGAAAAGGCATAGGCTGTTTGTGCACTGAACAGGACTAGGAGGGAACCTCACAATGCTGAATCCCTCATCTCCTCTTGCTGACAGGTGTGCCAACCTCGCCTGAACTGAGTACCGCTGCAATAAGTCCAAAGGGCATGTAGAGCCCGCTGCAAATACCTGAGTAACAAGTAGGAGGGAGTCCGCTCAGTGTACCAGTGCTGAATCACTCCACCCGCCGCCCCATATCAAAGCATTCCTGAGCGATGCTTCAGCTATTGTTGCTATGTTGCTAAGCAAAAGTAGCTGAAGCGTCGCTCAAGAATTCTTTTCTATGGGGCGGTCGGGTGGAGTGATTCATCACTGGTGCACAGTGCCGTCTCCCTCCTACTTGTTTCTCTGGTATTTGCAGCGGTCACTGCTTGTCCTTTAGACTTGATCGGCTGGTGGTGGCACTTGAAGCAGCAGTACCCAATGCCCGGGGCAAGTGCCCCCCTCGCCCCCTTCCTAGTTTTGGCCCTGGCCATAGCCCTTGAACAGAGCAAAGATCTGAGGAAGTGAACAAGACAGCAGGAGAGGAAGCAAAACATGGTCTTCTTTTGCAGTTTTTTCTTTTCAAATTGATGACAGGGTCACTTTAATGAAACCAAAATATGGTACAGTATATGTGCTTGCCTGTATAAAAATATCGAAAGGATATTCTTTTCTGATTACAGCTAGAGACCCATTTACCTATCCCCTCATAGCAGCTGCTACATCATAAGCCTATCCAATCACTACCTGTTAAAGACATTTGGTTTTAGTATTTACAGTCGTATCAGCTCAATCATTCTCTGTTCCAAAGCTTGAGGGACAAAAGGTCCTTCTGAACTACTTCAATTTTCTGTACACAGTGACATTTGCTTAATCCATTCAAAAACTGCTGTTTAATCAGCAATTACGGAAAACAAATTCATAGCTGGGTGTGAGTTATGCTGCTAATTTGTTTTTGATCCCTTATTTTATAGTAGCAAAAGTAAGAAGACACACATACATGTAATAAAACTCTTTTCCAACCACACCCTCAACCCCATTCCTACACAGTAATTATAGTATATATCACAGATCAGCCATAAATTTATGACCACTGACAATTAAAGTAAATAACATTTATTATTTCATTACAATGGCATCTGAAAGCAGGTGGAATATGTTAGGCAGCAAGTGAACATGTTGTCTCTGAAGTTGATCTGTTGAAAGTAGAAAAAAGGGCATTTGAGCGTCTTTGACAAATAGTAGTGAATAGATGAGTGAGTTACAAGAACTCTAGAACTGCAGCTCTTGAGGGATGTTCCTGGTCTGCAGGGGTCAGGAACTTCCAAAAGTGGTCCAAGGAAGGAAAACTGGCAAACCTGTAACAGGGTCATAGGTGGCCAAGGTTTAAATAATGCACTTGGGAAGTGAAGGTTGGCCTGTGTAGTCTGATCCAATAGAAGATTTACTGTAGTTCAAATTGCTGAAATGGTTAATTCTGGTTCAGATAGAAAGATGTCGGAACACAGAATGCATCACAGCTTGTTGCTTATAAGGCTATGTAGCCACAGACTGGTTAGAGTGTCCTTGCTGACCCATGTCCACAGCCAAAAGCACATGAGGATCAAAACTGGACCACGGAGCAAGAGAAGAAAGTGGCCGGTTCTGATGAATTCAAGATTATTTGAAAAACACAACAATGAGCTTGGTTTGGCCTCCAAATTCTTCAGATCTCAGTCCAATCAAGCATCTGTGGGATGAGCTGGAAAAAACAAGTCCGATCCATGAAGGTCCCACCTCCCAACTTACAGTACCTAAAGGATCTGTAACTGACAGCTTGGTGTGAGATACCACATCATACCTTTAGAGGTCAAGTGGAGTACATGCCTTGATAGGTTAGGACTGTTTTGGCAGCAAAAGGAGGACCTACTCAGTATTATGTGGGTGGTCATAAAGTTATGGCTGATTGGTGTAAATGTGAAGTTTCCCAACCTGGTTAGCCTATGGAAGTTTTCTTATAGATTTTTTAAGAATGTGTTACTAAATTTGGTGCTTTTGCACATGTAGGGATGTGGTATTTTTCCATTTTCTTGTTTAGGGGGTTGATTTACTAAAAGCAAAGAGGATGTTAACTTTGCAAGAGAAGTTTCACTTTGTATGGGAATATGCACCAGAGCTTAGTGGTGAGAGGGTGAAGCTCTGCTGACTTCCATCATTCAATCATGTGCAAGCAAAATGCAGTTTCCTTTATTTTCCTTGCACAAAATTGGCTATTTTTTGCAAAGAGAAACTTTAAAACATTCATTCAAGTTTTGGTGCAAATTCCCTTACAAGGTACAGCTTCCCTTGCAAAGTGAACAGTCTATTTGCCTTTGGTAAATCAATTCCACAGAGTGGATTAACTC